TTTTTTCCGAAAAATGTAAGAAATTCGAAACTAAAATTTTTAAATAAAAACATTTTACTTTATTTTATGATAAAATACATTTTAAAAATTAAAAATTTATATGTATTTTGTATTATATTGTATTAATAAACAAAATTATTTGCTTATTTTTCACTTATGTAGAACCTAACCCTATACCTCACTGTAAATATGGGTTCGTTTTACGCCGATTCGATTTGCGCCGGCTTTTGTAGGAATGGAACTGTGGTGTAAACCGAGGGCTACCTGTATATTATACAATTATATTATTTAATTTAATAAATCATAGTAATAATTTTGCCTACACATGCACTCAGCAGAGAGAAATAACATTACTACTACACCACCAAAGCTCAGTGAGAAAAATTGTATTGTTTATTAAACAAATGTTTTCAACCTATTAACATAGGCCATCTACAGGTTCTGAACTCAATTATAAATTGTCCCAAAACAGACCATTTGGTTTTTCAAATTTCACATTTAAACTTAATATTTTAAATAAAACTTTAAATTTGAATGAATTAAATACATAATTATATTTTCTTATTTTTATTTTATGTTGTTAATCTTATTTGTTAAAGCATAAAAATTAGGAAAATATAAAATAAAACTACAGTTGATTGTAAGGGAATGCAGGAATCAAGAGTTATGTCTTATTCTCTTTTCTATGATGTATTTCCATGCCAACAGTAATGCTTTTGCATCCTAGCATTCAGGCATTGGTGTCTAATTTTACTCTAATAAATACTTCAATCCTGCAATGAATATGGAAAAAGTAGGAGAGTGTACTATTGTAACAATGTTTGCTTTATCTCACTTTACAATCAAGCCTTCCATTCGTGACATTGCCACTAAAATTGTTTTACCATGGCCTTTTTCAACATTCTATTTGTGTTCTTTGAGATACACCATGAGATTTCCTTGTGTAACACCCATGTAATATTTTTTGACTCCTAACTGTTGGTTTTCATAGTGTATTTTGTATATCCCAGATTGTTCCTTGTTCCTTAGTTTGTCTTTAACATTTATTAATATGATATAAATATTATGTGCCCTTTTGTACACTACCTTCAATTTTTTGTAGGATGCCAGCTCATTCATAATGCATCTCAAATATCTGTTGTATGTAAATTTATTAAATTCTGTTGATTTTTTTTTGGAATTTCCTTCTTAACTCTTAATGACTCCTTCTATTGTGGATGTTGTTCTAATTTCTTTGATTCTGTTAATTTCTTTTATTCATTCCTGTATAATGAAGCAATACAAAAAGGCTCTTCTAATAAGTGTTCTAAATGCTGAAAGTTTGTATTTGTATGGGTTTTGACCATGGTGGAATGTAAATGTAGCATTTGTTGGTATGATATATACATCCATACCTCCTTGTTTAAACTGAATGTTAACATCTAAGAAGTGACAAGTAGAATTCTTCTGTTCCAATTTTAGATTCAAACTATCATTATTGTTGTTGATAATACTCAAAAACTCTTGAACTCTCTTGGTTATTCCTCCAAATTACAAACACATCATCCACATACTATAGAATATGATATCTTCTTTGAAATATCTGAAGATGTATTATGTAAACTTGATAAATGTAAGTTCTCATAATAGTCCTAATATATAATTTCCCTTTCATATTTCGAAACCATGTTGTATCTTTATATTAGTTTTTCAAAACCGCAATGCAGCGTAATAATTGACACTTGGCATAACTCATTTATTTCAGTTTTTGTTGATTTTTTTTTAATTTTTTTTTTTTTGTAATTTAATTTTTCTCTTTATTTTTTCTGGGAGTCTTTCCATTGTTTTTAGGAGTTTCTCCATTGTCAATTTTATTCTTTTTTGGATTTTCTTCATTATTTATGTTATTATTTATTTTATTTTCCCTAGTTTTAAGTAGTCTGTTAGCATATCCATTTAACAGGAATTTTTTCTTCAAGTCTTGAATATTATGCTGCATTGCGGTTTTGAAAAACTAATATAATTTCCCATTGGTACTCTCAAATTATATATTCACCTCAGGTTAATCCACACTGATAGCAAATTGCCAACAAATGCAAAAAGCAGAGCAAATAATACATAAAATGTGATAGCATCTATAATATAGTGATAGACAGCACGCTAATCATTTGTTACAAAAAACTTTTAACATATAAGCGTTAAATTATATACGTATGTCACTAAATTGATAGAAATTTGCCCTCTTTGTGAATCAATTTGTACAGCTATATAAAACATCGCAACTAAATCCACAATATAGAGGTGTCTAATGCATGTGTATTATAAAGGCGCGTGTTTTTGTTTAAATATCTTCTTATGTTCTATCATTGCTGTTATTCCAAAATGTTAATTATGATTGGAATGTTTTAAAAATCTTTGTATTCGAAAAAGGATCTTATATCTTCTAATGACCTGAAGAAGACGAAAGTGTCTATCGTCAAAAGCACTTGTCAATTTAGTGACATACGTGTATAATTTAACACTTATATGTTAAGTTTTTCGTAACAAATGTGATAGCATTTCTGACAAATTTTTCCATTTAGCAAATCACTCCATTAGGTCAATACATTGAAAATTTTTGCCTTCTAGATTTTGTAGTGTGAACTATGTGTATAAATTTCACTAAATGAATAATCACTTTCTGGTTTCCCCATTCATTGTTACTATTTGCTGTCAGCATGAGGTAACCTTTAAAATGATTCTTTGTTCCTTCATATGATTGGAGTTTCAGCAGAAGGTAACTGATACATGCCAAGTCAATTGAAAAAAAAAAAAACAAACAAACAAACAAAACTTTGTCAATTTTTTTAAAAGCACATGACTTAAATTGTATCACTGTACTTATGACAATTATCTTCACTCTGAAAATAATTTATAGTAGTTTTACTTGTACATTTCTCACTTATGTAATATTTTTCTTGATTTCCTTGAAAAATGTATAAATAGAGCTTGACTGTCTGTCTGTCTGTCTGTGTCTGTGTATATATTATCTACATATTATGTATATCACTTCTAATATATTTGTAAATTATAAATATATATATTTTATAAATACACATAACATTTTCTATTCAGTTATCAATTTAAAGAAAACATTTCTCTTACCTGGAATCTTTAATGAGCAAATCTTTAATAAAATTTTTTGCCAAATCACTTGTATTAATAAAATATTCATCATCAAACTGATAATCAACTGCTGATATGTTAGCAAATGTTTCTTGCTTATTATCACCAAGAAATGGAGAAGCACCACTAAGTCTTAAATAAAAATGTTTTCACTTATCATATTATATACAATATTAATTTAATTAATATTTAATTCATACCTAATTAATATTTTATATAAAATTAAAATAAGTCATCTACATTTATCTTCATTATTACAGAAAAAAATTAAGATAAAGCAAGAATTTGTCATTCTCTTCCATATTGCTTTAAATTTTATGAATTTCAAAATTACAATCATTTAATTTGGGGAAAGATTCATTTGAAAAATTTTGAGATATTTGGAAAATTTAGTCAATATAACTACAATTAGAAAATATCTTTCTAAGAAAATGAAATGTTAATTATTATAGATAGAAAATGTAAGCAAATAATCCATGTCAAATGAAGTAATATATTATTTGATACAAATGTTTGTTAAAATAATGATCACATATAGCAAGAATTAATGTTTGATTAACAATATTTTCTTAAAATAAATAGCTGAGAAAAAATATATCATCCAATATAAATAATTTAATAATCAATTAATTGCTATAATTAATATTAAATATTTCATGAAAAAATTTCAAAATTAGTTTTATAATGTCGTGTTTGTAATAAGGCTTCAATTGAAAGTTTCAGTTTATTTTCAACAAATGGAAAGATTATTTTGATTATATTTATTTATTCTTTATTCATTCATATCATATTTATTCACTCATTACTACACTTGATAAAAACAGTTATTTGTATGCAAATATATGTTGTATATATTTGACCAAAAAAAAAATCAAAATAAATGTGAACAAACTCAAAATGTTCTCACTTTGAAATAAGTAATTCAAACTTAAAAACTATAACTCAATACTTTCATTATATCATTCTATGAAAGATTAAAATATCATAAATTAGCTCAATTTCAAAATGTTATAGAAAATTATGACAACATGACTTAAAAAAGTATAAAGTATCAAAGAAACTATCAGATCAGTCTGGAAGATATGAAATTTAAAATCAGTTTGTTGAAAAAGATCTTTGGGAAAGCAGGATGAGCTGTCTCTAACCACTCCAAAAGCCAGATTTATATCTACAGAAAGTTATGCTGTGTATTTGGTGAGAGTGGAAGAGGATTGTTTATTATGAACTTTGGCAAATAATAAAGCAATTACACAAAAACACCTGGAATGGATCAACAGGAAAATGTCAGACTGCAATGTCAATGAGGAGTTGGCAAAGTTATGCAATCTTAAATGGAAGATTTTTATGCCATCAATCTTATTACCCAGACATAGTACCATCCAATTACTGTTAGCTTCAGTCTTTACAATAATTTATGGGAAAAAATTAAGTGCACTACAGGCAGTTAAAAACTAATTCAAAGACTTTATTGCCAAAAAATATAAAAAGTTTTTAGAAAAAGGTATCATAAAGTTATCTAATAGATGGCAAAGAGCCATTGAAGCAAACTGTGTACACATTATTTAATAAAATGTTAATTCTGTATAAACATATTGCTCTGAATTTTTTTTTTATATTTTGCAATGAATTTTCCAAACAACCCAATATATAACTAAATACAGACAAACTCAAACAAGAACTTTTGAACTGGACAGAATACTTACAAAATGTAAGTAATAACTCCAACACTCCACATATCTGTTGCAAGTGATACCGGCTCATAATTTACAATTTCTGGAGCTGAAAAATAAAAAACGTTTTAATTACCAATCATAAATACTTTTTATAAATTATTGTTAATTTTCAAGAAAATTTTGAAACAGAATTTTCCAAAGCAACAAAGCATAAATAAAATATAGTTTAATGCTATGAATAAAATAATAGACTTTATGCTAGCTAGTATAATAAATGAGCTATATTAATAAATATTTTATCTAATGTCATTAAAGATACTATACTAAATTGTCTGCAGTCTGCAAAAATAAAAATATCAGTAGACATGACAAAATTAATAAAACATATTTTACTACCATGTAATTGTCATTGTATCAAATTATAATAAATACTANAGATATATATATATATATATTTGATATATTCATAGTTACTTATTTATCATCATGAAATTATTATAACTTCATAAAGAGTTTAAATAAGTACTTAGCTTTTCTGTTATAGTGATAAAATTATATAATGCTAGAAAATTATTTGTAAATATCACAGAATTTATATTAATCGTTTATCAAATTAATATAATCATATATGAATTATTTTAGAGGATTTATTTCAGATATTTAATCATCTTTAAGACCTAAATCTAAAAGCAAATACAATTTTAACTATATGCTTGTTTCGGATATTGATAAACTTTTCATAATCAATAATAAAAATCCAGTTTATATAAAAAGAGTTCCTCTCTATTTCTCTAAAATTTTGAAAATTACCTAACAGTTAAATAGTAAACTTTAAATTTCAAAAAAACAATTGTGATTCAGCAAAAATTCCACTGGTTTTGCAAAACAAAATATTTCTATCGACAAAAAATATTCTACATTATGTGATGTTAAAAATTTATCTGTTAAGTTTAGCATATGTTCAACAATGTTTTATATTTATTTAAAGTCAATGGTACTTCATAATTAAATATATCAGTGTTTCTAGAGCAAGTGTAGAATCTGTTTATTTTCATATAAAATTTTAAGGATGACAATACATAAAACTGTAATGATAACTTTTATGTTTTTACTGTTGTTTTTATATTGATATTAGTGAACTCAAAATACAATAGATAAAAAATATTTTGATTTTATATCAAGTTTTACTTAACTAATTTTATTCTTTATTAACTTACATTACTATTATTACTTATTTTAAAATAAATTTTATAAAATAAACCTAACACTATAAAAAATAAAAAACAATGTACCATTTCGTAAGCATAGAAGTAATAGTCATAGTATTAAATTATTTTGTATAGTTTTTAATAAAAACTTTTTCCTATTTTCCTACATATGCCTAGAATGCCATTACAGTATTTAAATTAAGTTCAAATTTACAGACATACAACATTAAAATAAAATGTTAAAAGGTACTCACTTTTAATGTTTTATTTTGGTTTATTTGTTTTTAATGTTGTATGTATAGAAATTTGAGTTTAATAATCATTATTTCTATTAATAAAGTTTGGATTTCCTAATAATTTGGTGTATACTATATATATTTAAAATTCTTGAAACTGATAAAATGATAAAATTACTTTATAAAATATAATGATAGAATTATCTTATATGGTTTACACGATAATTTTATTTTTCTATAAATTAAAAAACTAAAAAAAACAAAGAAGTTATTTTAAAATAATATTAGTATTAAGAGTTAGATTTTAAATGATAGAATCAATAACTGTAAATCATATTTTATAAAATGTACATAAACAATATAAATTAAATAACTATTTTAATTAAACAAAAATGTTTTCAGCCTTATTCAGTTACATAAAATATTTATATTAAAATAATGTCATTCAAAAACAAGCTTTAAAAACTTCTGAATGTTATTGTTCTAAATATAAATGTCTTTTTTTCTTAATAGCTGAAAAAAACAACTGAATTTAATAAAGTAAAAATATTTCTGGAAAAATAATATTTTGATTTCTCAGTTAGATAATTATCTTATTAATACTTATATTTTCTGCAAGTTACCAAGTATTGAGATTTCAAGACTTTAATAGTATGTTTATGATATTAAATGAATTTTCAACTTTATAAAATTCATATCATTAACATTATAACAAAAATGAATTAAAAACATACAAATAGTGTACAGTCTCTCTCATTTCTTTTCTCTCCTCAAAAATTCTAGTCAGAAGGCCATGTATATAAGCATGTATAGATTATCTAAATTACAATGATTTGAATGCACACATTACAAATTTAAACAATTTTTTGAAACAATAAACTAGACATCTGATCTAGTGATCTTGAATAAAATACATCCTACAGATATGTATAAAAATTTTTAAATGTTTACCAATGTCACAATTTTCACTTAAAATTCTCCAAAACTTATTCATATAAATAATATAAAACACAGTATCTGCAATAGCTTTAACATTAAATTTACAAGTTTTTAAACCCAATCATTTATCAGCAGACCAAAAAAGTTCTTGTCACTATTGCAAAAACTGTATGAACTTTTTTTGATCTGATGAAAACAATTTTTTCACTCATAAGAAACTATTTGCAAGGCAAACAAGATACGTATGTGAGTGTTTGATTACTCGACTAGGACTTTTAATCCATCACTTCTTGTATTTTATTCCATTAACCCAAAGGCAATTCCACTTAGAAACTGGTTTTACAATTTTGGATTAATTTATACATTTTGTACAATTATATATAAATATATATATCAAGTTTTGATATGTTGAGATGTTATCTCAAACTATATTTTATTTTCAAAGCTAAGAAATTTTATTTATATATTCAACAATATTAAAGTTTTAACTGAATATCAATCATACTTTCATTTATATCATTATACATACCAACAAATTCTGGAGTTCCCATTAATTCTCTTATGTCGGAATTTACAGTAATTTTTCTTGATAATCCAAAATCTATTAATTTGATATGTTGACTATTTTTACTTAACAACATCACATTTTCTGGCTGTAAAACCAAAAATTTAAATACATTTAAAAATAATTCAAGTTAGTAAAAAGAAAGCTTTAAATTAATTTTAAAACAAATAATATATTTCAAGCATAAAAATTTTATAACTATAATATGATGTCAAATTATATTAAATGTTTAAACTATCAATGTCTAATTTGGCTGAAAATTCTAGAAATTCATTAAGAAAGCTTTGTAAAATCAATTCATTTTTTCTGAAACAGAAAATCTCAAAAACACATTCTAACATAACAATTAGAAAGAACACAACAAAGTTCTCTCTCTTAGGTGACTGCTAAATAAGGATGTATAACTAAAAAGCAATAGACTAACTGAAGATTTTTTGAAAATTTTTGCTCCAGTAAAAACAACTTAATTTGTTTAATAAACAAGTTAATTTGTATTAATAAACATTAAATGTTTTCCTTATCTCTTAGGAAAAAATTTATTAGTACATTTTAAATGTTTTTTTATAAGAAATATAAAAAATTAATACTTTAATTTACTTTCTCATTCTATTTTAATGAAAGTAGTTATTATATAAAGTATATTTTCATTTAGAGAATACTAATCATAAAATCAACAATAAAAAATGGAAAAATATTTCATAGTTATTGTTATATAGTGATAAGAAATAATCTTTTTATATATATTACAATTAATTTGTTTCTATTATGCAGAAGATTAAGTTTTAAAGATGGAATTATTAACAAAAAAATGACTTACAAACAGCCTTGCATATGTAGAATTCTCAGTTTGCATATTTGCTTAAAGTATAATTTGGTATACATGAAATGTTAGCTGGCAAAATACGCAAGATTGTTTGTAACTCATTTATATCAAAATTCTTTGATTTCTTCAAATGATCAGTATCTTCAATACAAGGAAACTATATTGACAATGCTATCAGTACAAACTTTCTTTAAGAAGTTTTTTTATTTGAAACATTTTTGGGATTTGACATCATCGAATATACAAATTTACATCTTTCTCAAGTCAAATGTAAATTTGTACCATTGAAATGAGATATTAAATCCTGAAAATATTACAAATAAAATTATTTACTAGTTCTTTTAATGAAGATTTGTATTGATGATATGGTATTGTATAACAATAAGAGAAAGATAAAAATACACAGTATAGAAAATTACATTAAGCAATAAATGTGTTAGCTGCAAGAACTATTATTATTTTTATTTTATTAACAATAATTTAATTTATTACTTTATTTTACATTTTATTTACTTTTAAAATTCTTTCCATGATAAAATCATATATTGTTAAATCTATCAGTTTGCAAAACTGTTGTAATTCTTTTCATATGTAAAATTGTAATAAAGGTTTCTAAAGTTTACAAATAAGCAATAAAATTATCATTATACCCATCATTTGCATTTAAAATTTTTATTTTGATGTTATGCAAATGAATTTATAGGTCCTTGATTTAACAAATAAAAAATTTCTATCCTAAAAGAAAACTTTAGAAGTTTTTATTCACAAATAGAGCATGCTAAAATGTTAGGTCAATGAATCAATAAACATAAATTAATATACATTACAATATTCTACTCATACTTATACATTATAACAACATTTCAATAGATCCTGTACATTGTAAGTTCATTATATTAATACTGTACAAGTTTTTAAAATACAATAAAACTTCTCCATATGACCATATTAAAGCCAACCACTTTCAGATGACCGGATTTTCTTAGAACAGAATTTTTATTCCATATGAATCATTGTTTTAACACTCCTTAAGATGACTATCTTTTCCTGACCAATGGTGGCTATCCAATCTAATAATCTCTTTATGTAAATTACTCTTTTTAAAGGTAATATCTCCAATTTTTTCATTCCATGAAAGAATGAAAACTCAAAATTATGGGCATGTTGCACCATTGAATTGGTCTAAAATTCTGAAGGTAAAACAAAAATTGAAACAATGTATCTATTTTCTTCTGTTCAGTTCTATCATAGGAAACATACATAATTTGTTGTTAATATTCTCAACAAGTTAGTCTATGCTTTATTCTTATGTTTTATTTATTCTTATTAAACTAAATAATATATCAAAGCCAATTAATTTAATCTTTCCATTAACAGAGAAAGATAAATGTAATCAATGACAACAAATTTAGATAGAATTTGGGCAGTTTTTGGATTTCTTTGATCTGAAAGAGATCTGAAATTTGACCAAATAGAAACAAAATATTAGAAGACAATCTTATCAAAAAAGTTAAAACAGAGAAAAGAAATGTCCCTTTCAGTTTACTTTAGAATAAAAAATTTACAAATGTATGCATTACATTTTCAGGTACAGTACAAGAATTATATGCAATATATTAAGAAATAATTTTTTTTAGCAGTAGTGTTAATCAATACACAGCATTTTTTAAATAGTATTTAATGTATTGTCTGTGTAACGTTACACTAGAATGCTATATACACTTTGTATTACTATCAAACATACTACTTTATATAGTACTCTGTATCCATCACATCCTTTGACAAGACCACTCCTTGAAATGACAAGTTTTTCCTAAGATTTTTAAATGGTCTTTTGAACAAGTTTTAATGTACAACTGATTTAATGAATTTTTGGCAATAGTGGATACATTTTCATACCAGTTAATCTATTAAATTGAGAGCCCACTGTATTTTCATACATTTACTAATCTATCAGTCGTCATTATTTTTCTGAAATGGTTTACTAATGATGAATTATACTTTGAATAAAATTATGTTTAAAAATATTTATTCTCTCTTCAAAAGTATAATAATTACTATATTTACTCACATATAAGACGACATCGCATACAGGACAAGGTATGACTTTAAACATCAAAATAATGAAAATTAGATTTATTAATACAATTCTAATTTTATTTCTTGTAATCACAAGTAAAATATCAAATGAACGTAAATGTACACATTATCCCGCAAAAATTACTAGCATTTTAAATTTTTAAGGAAAATCTTGTAAAATCGACAACATAATTTGTTTATGTAAAGTTGAGACAATCAGGAACATTTTTTGCCAATTCTTAACAGTCAAATCCACTCTCTGTCGATTACACTTATGAGTTTCTCCAAATTCTGATTTCCAAGTAATCATCTGTTTTCACGTGGGAATGGATTAAAACATATCATGCTCCTGTGTGATTTTGGAATTTCAATCTGGAATTCAATTCGAAAGTTTTGCTTTTCCTATTNATGTATATCACTTCTAATATATTTGTAAATTATAAATATATATATTTTATAAATACACATAACATTTTCTATTCAGTTATCAATTTAAAGAAAACATTTCTCTTACCTGGAATCTTTAATGAGCAAATCTTTAATAAAATTTTTTGCCAAATCACTTGTATTAATAAAATATTCATCATCAAACTGATAATCAACTGCTGATATGTTAGCAAATGTTTCTTGCTTATTATCACCAAGAAATGGAGAAGCACCACTAAGTCTTAAATAAAAATGTTTTCACTTATCATATTATATACAATATTAATTTAATTAATATTTAATTCATACCTAATTAATATTTTATATAAAATTAAAATAAGTCATCTACATTTATCTTCATTATTACAGAAAAAAATTAAGATAAAGCAAGAATTTGTCATTCTCTTCCATATTGCTTTAAATTTTATGAATTTCAAAATTACAATCATTTAATTTGGGGAAAGATTCATTTGAAAAATTTTGAGATATTTGGAAAATTTAGTCAATATAACTACAATTAGAAAATATCTTTCTAAGAAAATGAAATGTTAATTATTATAGATAGAAAATGTAAGCAAATAATCCATGTCAAATGAAGTAATATATTATTTGATACAAATGTTTGTTAAAATAATGATCACATATAGCAAGAATTAATGTTTGATTAACAATATTTTCTTAAAATAAATAGCTGAGAAAAAATATATCATCCAATATAAATAATTTAATAATCAATTAATTGCTATAATTAATATTAAATATTTCATGAAAAAATTTCAAAATTAGTTTTATAATGTCGTGTTTGTAATAAGGCTTCAATTGAAAGTTTCAGTTTATTTTCAACAAATGGAAAGATTATTTTGATTATATTTATTTATTCTTTATTCATTCATATCATATTTATTCACTCATTACTACACTTGATAAAAACAGTTATTTGTATGCAAATATATGTTGTATATATTTGACCAAAAAAAAAATCAAAATAAATGTGAACAAACTCAAAATGTTCTCACTTTGAAATAAGTAATTCAAACTTAAAAACTATAACTCAATACTTTCATTATATCATTCTATGAAAGATTAAAATATCATAAATTAGCTCAATTTCAAAATGTTATAGAAAATTATGACAACATGACTTAAAAAAGTATAAAGTATCAAAGAAACTATCAGGTCAGTCTGGAAGATATGAAATTTAAAATCAGTTTGTTGAAAAAGATCTTTGGGAAAGCAGGATGAGCTGTCTCTAACCACTCCAAAAGCCAGATTTATATCTACAGAAAGTTATGCTGTGTATTTGGTGAGAGTGGAAGAGGATTGTTTATTATGAACTTTGGCAAATAATAAAGCAATTACACAAAAACACCTGGAATGGATCAACAGGAAAATGTCAGACTGCAATGTCAATGAGAGTTGGCAAAGTTATGCAATCTTAAATGGAAGATTTTTATGCCATCAATCTTATTACCCAGACATAGTACCATCCAATTACTGTTAGCTTCAGTCTTTACAATAATTTATGGGAAAAAATTAAGTGCACTACAGGCAGTTAAAAACTAATTCAAAGACTTTATTGCCAAAAAATATAAAAAGTTTTTAGAAAAAGGTATCATAAAGTTATCTAATAGATGGCAAAGAGCCATTGAAGCAAACTGTGTACACATTATTTAATAAAATGTTAATTCTGTATAAACATATTGCTCTGAATTTTTTTTTTTATATTTTGCAATGAATTTTCCAAACAACCCAATATATAACTAAATACAGACAAACTCAAACAAGAACTTTTGAACTGGACAGAATACTTACAAAATGTAAGTAATAACTCCAACACTCCACATATCTGTTGCAAGTGATACCGGCTCATAATTTACAATTTCTGGAGCTGAAAAATAAAAAACGTTTTAATTACCAATCATAAATACTTTTTATAAATTATTGTTAATTTTCAAGAAAATTTTGAAACAGAATTTTCCAAAGCAACAAAGCATAAATAAAATATAGTTTAATGCTATGAATAAAATAATAGACTTTATGCTAGCTAGTATAATAAATGAGCTATATTAATAAATATTTTATCTAATGTCATTAAAGATACTATACTAAATTGTCTGCAGTCTGCAAAAATAAAAATATCAGTAGACATGACAAAATTAATAAAACATATTTTACTACCATGTAATTGTCATTGTATCAAATTATAATAAATACTATTTGAGATTTGTTAATAATAAAAATACTCAAGGTAAAAAAAATTTCATGATTTTCTAGTGAATTTTTATCGCCTTATTTCAANAGTCAAAGATAATAAAATATTTTATTATTTTAATTATCTAACAAAAAATAATCTAAATTGTTTATAATATAGCTTCCACTTATAATCCTACTTATGAATAAGAACTTTGTCAAATTCAGTATTCCTAATTATATTGTATATTATTCCACTATAAATTCAATTTTATATATAATGCATACAGAAATCCTTTCAATGTTTGTATTTATTGATATAGAATGTTAATTACATTTTTTAGTATTAAAAATTTGATCGCCTTACAAGAACATTAGATATTTGAAAGTTTGTTAGTTCCATATAAACAAACTTTCTTATTTACATAGGCTTTCAATTTAATTTTCATTCATCTGAAAATTATTTCAATGAAGACTTTTTTTAGAAACTCGTTTTCATTCAATTCTTATTCAGTTTTCTCCAAATAGTTGAACAGTAATATGGTTTAATTAAATAAACAAAAAATATTAGTACACAATCAGTAATCAAATGTAGTAAAATAAAAGTAAAGTTAAGAAACAAAACACTTCCACTTTAAATGTAATAAAAGTCAACCATATATGTTTTTAATTAGTACAAAATTCATAATGAATTACATATTCTGAAATAAAAGTTTAAAAAACTTAACATTAATCAAGACAATACTTTACATTCCATTTGTGTGAATTTATAAATTGTTGGAGATATAAATATTAAACACATTCTATTTTATTTGTACAACTTTTTATGATTAAATTAATAAATTTTTTAAAAATAATCATGAAGAACAAAACTTTATTGAATGTAAAATTGATGTTTTAATGTGAAAGAATGCTTGTTTCATTTTTCAACCAACAGATGACTGCATATTTTTTAGAGTCATCTATTGGTTGAAAAATGAAATAAGCATTCTTTCACATTATTAGATGTAAAATTTCATTCTTGATGTTTATAATATATATATCAAAATATCTTATAAATAATTTGTCAATAATGATGAACAACATGGGAATCATTATAACTTTTATTTTCAATACACATATTAAAAATAAGTTATATATTGAAAACATGGGAATCATTATACATAAAACACTAGCCTTCCTCCACCTATTCTAAATTAATTTAAATTACAATAGTGCTAGAAGAATTTTTTGCATAGTAGTATTATAAATTGCATTCAATACTTTGTACTTCAAACTTATACCAATATCTTATGAGTTAACTTGCTGTATCTCTTCTGTGTCCATTGCACAGCAACTATATCAGTTTTTATCCTATGTAAAATTCATGTCTTCAAATTTACTTATAAATACACATTTTCACTTAATTAATAAATTTCTATCAATTTATAAATTTTATCATTGTTTTTTCATCTTTCAAAAGCTTTTAATAAAAATTAATCAGATAATTCTAATCATTTTACTAATAAAATTTAATTGTAAATGATATTGCATAAAGAAAGTAGAGTGGTGTAATTTATTCTTATAAATGAAAATCTAATTTGACTTATTTAATCTCTAAAATCATATTTTCCAAAACCATTTATAATATATAGAACTATTGAAAATAAACTATCCAATTCAATGACAAATTTATTATTGATGTTTTCTTAAGGAAACTATATTTTAACAACATAAATTAAATTCAGTATGATAATTCTAATTTTTTAATAATAATTCTATAAATGTGTTCACTAATTACAATGTTTTTTAAGTTCCAATATTTATTACTTCAATATTACTGTAAACTTTCTAGTGAATGTTCTTTTATTGTTTCTTTCAAAGAGTTTAAACAAATAAAAATTATAATTTAAAATATTAAAACAATTTATTCATCTTATGATAACAGATATAAAATAAATTAAATTTTGTGTGATTAGATTTAAAGATTTAACTTTAATTTGTAACAGAAATAAGCTCTAATTAAAAACTAGAAATTTTAGTTATAAAAAGATGTTCTCTTTTAAAAATCAAAATTAAAAGTTTAAATAAAATTAAATTATGAAATAAGGAAATATTCACCTGACGAAATGACTAATTTTTTGAATAATAAAAAAGAGAAAAGAAATTAATGTGAGAGGTAGCAATTTTTTTTATTTATAGTTATATGTAATTAGTTACATTATTTAATTTTGTTTCAGTTATTTTAAGTTTTGGAAATTGAATTACATTAAATCTTGAATGCTCTCTGAATACTTCCCTACTACAGATTCATTTGCATAACTTAATTTGAATAAATGGAATTGCATTCTACTATTCTAATATTGCAATCATATATATAAAAACAGAAAATTATTTAGGATTTTATGCTTAAACAGATGTTAGTAGAGACAAATTAAGAAAAATTATTTCTCAAAAGCAAGTACNATAATGGTTGCAAAAATTTTTAAATATCCTAATGCATCAAACTTTCATAAAAATATAATGAAAAATCATCTATCATTATTTTTTGTTACATTTATTATTAATTTTATTTTATAAATTCATCTGACTTAACACACATTTTATTAAATGTACATGCCACAAACAAAAATTCTTTATACCAAATGCATTCTACGTTGTGATGATACATATCGGGATTTAAAACTAACCTCCGAATTATATTAGAGGCTAAACTGCACTGAATATAATTAAAATAAGTTTTGTTAGCTGTGTATATTGCTGATTAATAAATCATGTTATGAAGTGAATATTTTAATATTTAATAAAACAATTTGCTTAATGTACAAATAAAAACTTACTTTTAAATCTAAATGAGCAATATTTTTATTATGAAGATGTTCCAAACCTAGAAGTATCTGTTTAATAAATGCAGATGCTTCTTCTTCACTTAATCTCTCCTTTTGAGAAATGAAATCAAACAATTCGCCACCTTTAACACTATTCGAATAAAATTAAAATGTAATTAATAACAAATTTTTATCAAATATAATATGCATTTTATTATTAATACACAAAACATTTAAATAATTGATCTAAAAAAAATATATAAAATTCCATACTAATTTTACTATAACTTATGATTTTGTAATTATGTTAAGATTTATTTTAATTACCTATAAAACTAATCTTAAACTTTTCTCTTTTAATTAAATTTTATTTCTGTTATAGCAGAAAAGAATATTTTTATAAAATAAGCTAAAGATGGAAACTTATTTTTTCTCTCGACAGATGGCGCTACAATTTTATTGTCTTTTCAAACAAATAAAACTAAGTAGGAGAGAAAATAAAATAAATAGACAAAAGAAAATAAATAAATATAATGAAAACTTTAATGTTATTTATCTCCGCTCAGAAATCAGATAAGAGAATAATCCACAGCAGAGGAACATTGACCCATAACAAACAACAAGCGCGTGAGGGTGGCATGCACATGAATTATGTCACATTGTCGCTGGAAGACTTTTCTTAAAAGACATTCAAAATTCCGTGCGTGTATGAATTTAATTAGTGTGGCAATAATGGGCGTGTTTCCATTTTATATTGTAGAAAACAAGAGAACAATAGGAAAGAAGCTTGGGACAAATTAACCAGTTGACTTAATCGCATTTCATACTAGAATAACACGTAATCATTTCGGCACGGATAATCGATAAAGATAAAAGAATGAAAGCAGATGTATGCGAGAAAGATGAGAGAACAGACGTTTGTTATGACAGCTGGTACAAAACCCACATCACACCTGCACGCTAAATGGCTTTTAGAAAAGGTCGTGTGAAATGCAGCAGGCTGAAAATCAACTTTATATGTTTTCTGAACCAGTCGATTCGTCTCGTGTATGTACGCAAAGAAGAAGAGAAAAAATACGGGGAGATGATGATGATGATGATGTTAGCTAAAACCAGGCTGAAAATAGAAAAGAAAAACAATCAACTTTGTATGCTGTTCCGAACAAATTGATGTACGAGTACAGAAGAAAACCACATAGATGCTACTAGTTAAACTAGGGTGTGGTTGAAAAATATTCTTTCCAAATCGTGTTCCCTAACCACACCCACAACAGTAGCACCGGTCCAAAAATACGAAGAAAGAAAAAATGGCATTCTGATGAGATTTCTGACCGCACCCGGTTATAAGTACAATGCTGCAGCAGTTAAGAAAAGATAGAAACCTGCTTCGATTACGTCGTTAGAGGTACAAAGACAGAACGAGCGTCTTCCCAGAAACAAACCACGATTTAACCCTGCAACTAGTATAAAGGGGAGAAAAAAGATTCCCCCTCCCAAATGACACGTGATCAAAGATCGATATTAGAAAGTAGCTGATTCATAGGGAGGTACCGACATCCCAAAACAGAGCTATTTTAACTGTAATGTGCAATCTATAAATATCTTCAATATGACCGAATTTTTTTGATTTTAATAGTAAGGTAATACAAACGAGCCAAAATTAAATCAATAACCAGATTTAATAATGACAGGATTTATTGTTTAATATGAATTGATCATTGTTGAAATGAATAAAGCATGAAAACATATAAATAAACGTAGATGTTATACAGTATGTTAAGGCAGGATATTGCACCGCGTTATTATTTTCACGTATGATAAAAGGATTTTAATATTATTTTACGGTAAGTTTTGTTACGAGCTGATATGGGACGATTACACACAAAAGCTGTGAATGAATCAGAATGGAGTTTGTTGTCGGAAGGGGTGTCTTTTATTAATCACTTCCCTCTCTTATCTTCCGGTCTGACGAGGGTCACGGTCAAATGGTGACCAGTTTGACGAGTATTTTTTCGTAACCCTACTTGCTAGGCTGTCGGATTTACTTCCCAGAACCTTTCCTCGAATGTCGTTGCCTCCGACGTGATATAAATAATTAAAAAATTCCACGTCGTTGTTAATAAAGCCGTGCCGTAACTGTTAAAGGATATTACGTAAACGAGAAATGCACGGAAGATAAGAGAGTATCTTACAGTTCCATAACGAGAATGACTTCTGAACCATTGTCGTAAACATCGTGTAAGCTGATGACGTTGTCGTGGTTCATCTGGCACAGAATTTCCACTTCTCGAACGATGTCTTCCATCGGTACGCCTCTCCTACTTGTAGAGGTTTTCCTTTTCCTGATAAATTTGGCTGCAAACTCGACTCCGGTCGATCTGTTAACGCATCTTCGAACGACTGCAAACTGACCACTGCAAAAAGAAATATAATATATAAATTTGAGGATTTAAAAAAAAAAATTAAAATTTCAGATTTCGGTAAAGGTTTGTTTATTTATTAAAAGTTAATTTGAAAAATAATATGTTATAAAACGCAACAAAACAGGCTGGAGATGTTTAAAAAAGTCTTCAAAATTATCCTCTAAAAACATCTAATTTTGTAAATAATAGACCTATTTTCTAGGTTGTATAATATATTTTGAATGACATTGTAAATGGTAGAAAAAAAATTCCAGACGAACATATATAAATCAATAGAATCACGAAAGCTAACAATAATTTTTTTTTTCCTCTCGGACAAAATTCATCTTTGAAGAAAGCGACATTCAATGGACATCATTAAAACAGAAAACAGTTCTATTTTTTATTATTATTTTTCTTGTGAAAATTCTCATGAAAACGCGCCTTTCTTTCAGAAGTGGAGCGAACTAGTCACGTGTGGAGGAGGATCTGATTGTCGTTAACGAACCAACAAACAGTACTAGCTGTCAAACTAGATGTCCAAGAGATACAGATAATTGGTCAAGACATCACATTGTTCCCTATAGAAAAACGGCGCAAGAGAAAAAAAAAAAAAATATTGTTCCAACAGGCTTCAGACATTATTAGAGGTCAATGAATGCATCCCGATTAGATTACAACTAGCAATTGCTCCTGTCTCGACATTTATTATAGTTTTAAAACTTAGTTTCTATTTATAATTTCTGCTATTTTAAAGGGCTGCATGATACGTTTATTTAATACCCGATTGCATTTTCTACAAAACAACAACAAATTTCGTTGAAATAATTCGTGAATATGCTTTATTCATGTTTAAAATTTGTTTAGAAAAATCGATTACTTTGATTTCACCGACCAAACTCGTCATGGCGTAAATCAGATAATAAAGATAAAAGCAGACAATCGAGACAAACCCGGAACCTAGAAATTTGTATAAATGAGCGTTTCAGATATGCGAAAATAATCTTATTTGATACAGGATGACAAGATCAAAGGTCATCATCATCTAGACTTGAAGTACAACATCCTCCAGATTGAAAAAAAAAAAAAAGAAAAAGAAAATCAATGAGCCTGTTCCCTTTGAAAACTGATGGGCGACACGTGTATATTGGTTTCCTGTATTACCTTCATTTTTTTTAACGAAAGAGGAATATTTGGAAAGATACCTTAGAATATTAATTCTTTTCTTTAACAAATAATTGCAATATATATGAATTAAAACACAAGCGGTTCATCTTTATTATTAAAAAAGTATTATATTCTTAATCGCTAATAAAATCGACTGGTGTTTATGCTTTTTTATTATTATTATTTTAGATTCTATGTGAAGAAATTATACTAGGTTAAATAATTAGAAATATTTTAAGAATTTATATTACATAAAATATGTACACGAATTGTAAGCAGAAATGTCGATAAATTATGTCACTAATTGGCGAGTGAAAAGAGCATTTGGCTTTCTCGCTAATGGTTTTGTTAAAGATGATTTGCTCAAAACACTTTTCTAAACTATTTCGTGCCGGATGTGCATGAATAACTATGTCAGTTTAACAAAAGATTTCCGCTGGACAGGAATTACGGTTACAATAAAGTCGGGGAGAGAGAGAGAGAGAGAATCGAGACAACGAGAGAAACAGTTTAGCAGCTTTACCTTTTGTGTAAATGGTGCAATTAAAGTTAGCTCCGGGCTTAACTAAAAAGCACGATTTTCTTGCCACGAAAGAAAGTAAAAAAAAACTAGGAATGCAAGAAAGATAAAAAACGAAATCATTCGTTTTAAACCGTAGCTAGTCTATTACGAGAATCTCGGTTTATGTTATGATCAAAGCGTAATTAACATTGATTTTAATTTAAAAATTCGTACGGAGTTCATTAACCCTATTAAATAAGGAAGAAAATTAGAGAAAAAAAATATTAATCTCTATAACCATCCAGCTATTTCACCTCTGTCAAAGGAAGCCTGACCAGAGAGGAGGGAAGTGACCCATATATAGGACGATCAGATGATAGACAATAGTACCGTGTATACAGATAGCCGTCTTGGAAACGATACGGACTCGACGATTTACAATCAGTGAAATCATCATTGAACCGTACTGTCCTTTTTTCCGCTCCAGAGACAAATCATTGTTTGTCGTTTCCCAACTGTTGTCTGTAAATTGTCAACGGGTAAGGGTTTATATCAACAAAACTGACACCTTGTACTTTAAGACTTCCTCGTTTATACGGCGTGGGATGGAAATATATGGTTGTTTTCACTATATAACCGGTTAGATAAAGAACTTCCGTGCTGCATTCTACAGTCTTATTTTACAGACTGAAAGAGATCTTTGCATTCGTATATATATATATACATACATACATATTCCTGACATGATTTGCAAAAAAGTAATATGGAATGTAAGAAAAATGAAGAAAATTTTCGGTAAACGAAAGGAGAACGACCGCCTAAGATAATTAGATATACAGTATTGGCCTGGAGGAGTTGAAATGGCCTTCGAGTTCTAACCATAGTTAAGTAGATAGACAATCATTAGAAAATAGTCTACAAGGACTATTTTCTATGTATCGATTATAAAACAGTGATACAGTTTTCTTAAACATATTATTAAATTGTTTTTGTTTTTCCTTTAGTTGCGTTGACAGACACGTTAATCCGTCCTAGAACAACCTTTAAAATCCAATAGATCAACAAAAGGCGAGTCAACATTAGGAACAAGGTGAACTAGAATAATGAATCTCAAGTATGTTCCCTCTCGAGGAAAGGAAATTTTATCACGCATTAATGCTATATCATGTTAAAAAGACACACATTAATAAACCAGAAATGATTTATCATTTTTAAACTTTTATTATTCAAAAATGATTGGAATTCTTTAGATGGACGATAAGATTAAAGAATCCAGATTTATTAGCATTTAATTGATGCTTAATAGATTTTTTTCCTGGCGGAATCTTTTTTTTTATAATATAATAGTTACTACATGTTAAAAACGTTCGACTCGAGTGAGTATAAACGATAGATTCATTTAACCGGCAATTTTCCACAAAAAATATGCAAAATAGATAATTATCCGATATTAAGTAGGTTAATTACCGCAATGTATCCATAGAAACTTATGTATGCAACCAATTAAACTAGCACTTATTTCTCAAAAAAAAAAAAAAAAAATTTTATTGAAAAATCTGACTGTTCTTAGAGAGGTGAAAGATGATACTCTCGTGACAATAAACATTTTTAAATAATTTTTGTATTATTATTTATATTGTGTATTGTTTACAATTGAGAAATTTAAGTCTATAAATCAATCATGAAACTTGTTTAATATCAGAGAAAGGTTTTCAAACATCCTATTAGTATTGAACAATATTTCTGGAACATGACATCTCTGTTCATTTCATCCGTGTCAGATGTCATGTACCAATGCTATTATGCATTCTTATATCGCTAAAGGTCATGAATAAGTTCTCAATTCTTGGTAAACCATGCGGTAGTTAAGATCTTTTTTTTTTATTCCTTTTTTATTCTGACATCCGTCGTTAAGATATCTGATCTAAATTCGATCCGTAATGCAGATAAAGTAATCTTATGGTTTGAAAAGTGTTTCCAGGATGTTTATGATGAAGGAGTGGTGAGAAAACTGACTGGAAACGTGAAGCATCTACTCCAGAATAAAACTGGGGCCAATGAAAACGCTAGAAACTTTCACGATAGTTAGTATGGCCCTTGGCTATAACGCCTAATTGTGAGAAAAGAGAGAAAAGGTTAGCGATCCTAAGATGAATCTCAACTAACGGAAAAGGTCACGACCTCTTGACGAAATACAAAAGAGTATTTCTGAAAAGGAATAGTGGCCCCAACTAGCGGGGAAGGTCGTCCTTCCTGCATGACAAGGACACTCAAATACAAAGCCGGTGGGGGCAATCGCGGGTACGGTCGTATGTCAGTCCACTGACCTCAGACGATTCTAGTGGCGGAATTCTCTAGACCGTCACGTAATTTACGTGAACTTGATGATCTATCACGTTTTTCTTCTGAACGGAGCACTGGATCAAGTGCACAAAGAGATGTTTGTTTAAAAGACGTTGATGATGAATAAATCTTACACTAACTACGAGTTTCATATATATATATACTGGTTTGAATTTTGACCAAAGCACTTAAAATTACAGTAAATATTACTGTTTTAAATAATACGTTATATAATTTAAATATTTATTAATATTTTTAAAATGCTAAATTATTTCTAATCTTGCTTTTTTATTCCATAAAAAGTGTATGTTCCTATGGATAAATATATTGCTCATAAACATTATACAGGAATCATTTTTGAAAATAATGTTACTTTAAATATCCTGATTGATTTGAAACGTTAGTTTCTCTATTCTACCATTGTTGTAACTAAATGAGCTAAATTTCCATACTCTCTCAAACAATAAATCTGTTATGCATGAAGAGATAAATCTGGAGCTCTTTAAACATATCCTTGCAAAGAACAACCAACTTCCTTGTATTCAAATCTTAATCATTCAAATATCTAATAGTTGCAATCTTATGTAAATAAGTATTCTGAATAAATGTTATATCTAGGCAAATGTTATACCTAGGCAAGATTTGATGCTTATCTGATATGAAAGATTCATATTTCTCATAATACTGTATATAGTATAATTAAGAAATTTGAATTTTGTTTGCCTTTCTTACATACCAAAGAAACTAAAGATATTTAATGTAACTTGATTTATTTATTATTGTTCCTCATTAAAACAAAAAAGTTGAACAGAATATGACGATAAAAATTAAAATGCAGGGGGAAAAACAAATTATATGCTCTGTTTAATTAATGAAATAAAAGTTAACTAACTTTGATTTTTTTTATTTTTATATATTTGCTAATAATATGAAACAATACCAAGTTCAAAACGAACATTCCTTCTGTAATTAAAATTGCAATTTTAATAAAACAAGATTT